CGCAGGCACCCAGGACCCAGGCTTCACTTGCAGCCCTGGCTTTGTCTGGAAGGTCGTCCAGTCTAATTAGCATATTACACTTTTATTATTATAGATTGATTGATTTCAGAGAGGAAGAGAGAGGGGTTTAGAGATAGAAACACCAATGATGAGAGAGAATCATTGATTGGCTGCCTCCAGCACATACCACACTGGGGATTCAATCCTGCAATCCAGCATGTGCCCTGACTGGGAATCGAACTGTGGTCTCCTAGTTCATAGGTAAATGCTCAACCTCTGAGCCCTGTGGGCCTGGCTACATCAAACATCTTAGAACATTATGGATTTATGAGGAGATAACAGATAAACACTCAGTGAAATGAATAACGATGAGGTGGGTGAGCAGGGACCAGCTGTGATACAGGAAGAGATGAGAACTCAGAGGATGCCCATCAGAACACATGGGAAGTGAACACAGATGACATCCAATGAAATTATTTGGCTCCTGTTGCCAAACTTCTCATATTACCATTAATTCTGTTGTTAATTCTCTAGCAGAATCCAGAACTTCTAGAGATACCTTCTAGAATTAATGCAGTTTTATAGTTTTACCATGGATACTCTGAACTAAAGGTATTCATCAGCCTTAGAAGAAAATGAAATACACTATACTTGTGCATTCTGGTGGATGGGACCAATTTCCCCCTGAACATTCTACAGACGCAGATCCACGGATCTGAAATCCTCTGTTACAGGTGTACATATATTTTATCCCATGTGGATAACTGTTTAACCTGTTAGGAAGAACAGCATTGGAAACTACAGGGATGGTCCACAAGGAAGTTCAAGAAAACAAAAAGAAAGAAAAGAAAGAGTGACTGCGTATTTCATGATCACTGAACTTTACTTCATGTCCTAGTTGTCATATTTGGTACTTTCATTTGAAAGAAAATGATCACACAGGTGCTAAGATCACATGACAGGAAAGGCGCACAAATGCTTGACAGACCACCATGGTGGTGTGTCCAGCTGTCAGCTTGAGCAGGAACTTGAAGCAAAAATTATGAACACATCTGAGAATGAGCTTATCAATGCTTCTCTAACAAATCATGAGCAATAAAAAGAAACACATTGAGAATCATCTTAACAAAAGTATCCTCTACTGTAAGAGATCGGAACATCTTTCTTATAAGAAAGACAATGGAGAGAGGACATAAATCTTTATAAAACCTGGTGACAAAGCTTTCATTGCAACCCATATGAATATGTAGGAGCATGAACAGGTATAATTATATGAAGAGTGAGGTTTCATTTCACCACATTTCAGGTTTTGTAGGAAAAAATGCCCGAATTACAAGTGATAGCATAATGAACCAATAAAAGTAATAAAAATAGGGTTGATTTGTTTGTGCAAAAATAATTTGGTAAAATATTATAATCTATATAAATGAAATATAATGCTCTTATACGTTTATAAATCTAAAGAGTTATTTCTCATGGCTTTGATGATGACGATGGGTTATCTTACTGAACTGCACCAAAACAGAACTTTAGTTTGCATGCTGTCCTCACCTACACACTGTGGTGGAGCGCTCCATTTTCCCTGGTGGCATGTTATCCCATCTTCTTTGGATAATTTGAAACCATCCTTACAAATATAACTTAATGTGGTGCCATGCGCATATAGCTTGGGTTCCAATGTTTCTCTGGGAGAATTAATGCTTCCATGTTCTACATGAGGCGGTTGAGAACATGGAGTGTTTTCTATATGAAAAATAGAGATTAAAGGGTGAAGCACAAGGATAATGTTTAAACTGAGAAATAAAATCCAACACTGTTTGGGATTTTAAACTAGGGACATTGGAACCAATTAAATTATTAATAACTAAAAGTATTTGAAACTTGCAAAGACATATGTGCCCATAAAATCGGTGCTACTGTCCATGTGTCCCATATGGCTCTTCAGTCTCCTCCTGTTCGTCTTGAGGAGTGACATATACATACACAGAACTTAGATATTTCACAGTCACCGGAAGTTTCTGTTTGCATTCGTTTCACATTAGAAGGGAAATAATGCTGATGGATTTCTGCACCTGGATGGTGTGTACTGTGTGGAGATGAAGTGGGATGGGTAGAGGAAAGGGGTCCTCTTGTTCCTTTACACAAAGCAGGGCTGTGGGTTACCCTCATCTGAGAGACAGAGTAACGCAAGTGACCCACTACTGACCGACACAGCGCGGTATTGACTGCCATCGTCCATCCTGGCACACGATTTCCTTTCCTCCGTGGAGTAGAAAGTTTTCTTGACAGAGAATAGATATTTTTTCTCCTTCATGATAATTCACTGAAAGGGCCATATGTTGAGAATTGGGAATCTGAGGTGGAGGCGGACATCTTGGAGCTTCTAAAAATATTAAAATCAGATTTCTTAATGAAAAATCATGTCAAAAATATTAAAATAACAACTCAGTGAATAAAATGATCAATAGTAATGCACCTGGAAAGATCAAACTATAATGCTCTGTTCTGTGTTTAAATATGTTAGACTTTTTGTCTTGTCACTCTAATATACCTCATTGGGTTTATATTCTCATGGCCTTCCTTGTAGGTTCTTTCCTTTATTCCTTCTGGGATCAATCTTGGGTAGCTTAGCTTATGTAAAATGCTTTCTATATATTTAGACCCATGGAAATTGGTAAAAATATTGAGGTGAGTGGGTCAAGGTGCCCTCAATTAAAGAAGAGCAATACTGATATGAAAAGTGAATAAACCCTGTGTTATTGGAATTGGTGGTGGCAATGAGACTCAGTGTTTGCCAGACGGATAAATGAGCAAAGACAGATGACTAGATGGGTAGATTCCTACAGAGGTAGAGGGATGCAGACATAGGTAGAGCGCGCACCCATAGATGCTTAGATAAACACCCGCGTTACAGGCAGAGGCAAATCTGTAAGGTAAGAACTTGGTAGCAATGGGATCCCAATAGGAATGCGCACACCCACTGCCCAATGTGACTTTAAAGCCACCGCACTGCCGGGTGGTTTGTTGATAGCTGACCAATGCACATGGTACAATTACTATTCAGAAACAGCGTTTTGGTTATTTTCTAAATTACTTTCCAGCTACAACATTATTGTCATAATACATAGTTAGTAATAAAATGTTAGGACACAAAGAGACACCTTGTACAAGGCAGGAAGGAAAACCACCGTTTGGAAATGTTCTAAACAAGAGCTCACCTGTGCAGTTCACCTCGGGCTCCCACTTTCCGTGCACGCAGACTGAGCGTTTCTGCTCTGACTTCCTCCCACAAGTGTAACTGATTGTCTGATTATGCTCATAGTCAATCTTATCTGACAAGTTTATCTCATAAGCAGTTGCCCTTGATAATTTACATATCTTGAGTTCAACTGTTGCTGTAAAATGAAAATATTCCATTGAAAACACTAATTATGAAAATCCAAGCAACTAATATAATAAAAAGAAAAACCCAACACAACAACTATAGAAGAACAACAACAGAACAACTATGGAGTCCAGGATCTAAATTCCATTCTTCCTGATCATGTTGAATGAGTTGGGCTACAATATTTGAACACATAGTCATCCTAAAGCCATGTTGCGCTTTGGGGATTGCAAGGACATTGGGGTTCACCTTTTATCTGAGCTACATAGGGAAAAGTCATACATGACTAAATATGGTCTTATTTGAAATCTGCAATTTTTCACATCCATTTTTCTTGGTGCCACATATCTCTACATTATTTTCAGTCTGTAGTCTTCAAATGGTAAAAGAAAACAATTATCGGTGGAAATAGAATATATGAAGCTCCTAGTTTAATTATATATTTTAAAATAACTTTAGTCTATTATACTAACAAGAGAAGTTGATCTAAGGTGTAGGGTGTAGACTGTGAATGTTTCAGCATATCTTTGGCACGAACACCAAATACCAGAATAAGAAACTTGGTTTTTAAGTCATAACACATTTTGTGTACATGTTCTTAGAATCTTAGAGAAGCTATTTTATACACCCGATCATCCTAGAATCCAGTAATATTATAATGCCATAATAACACATTTATGTTGGCTGCAGTATGGTTTAGATATGGACTATGGAAGTTTTTGTACACAGTTACATATTTCAAAAATGCAATGCAGGTGGCAATCCGTTTTGAATTTGATAAGACCTATCAGTGTAGGTCTTAGGTAGTATTTGTTAATAATTTGTAAATGATGAGAGTCATGAGGATGAACAGAACAAAGAACAGTGTAGTAATTGGCCAAAGAAAAGTAATGATTTTGTAACGCAACCTTGAAAAAAAAACTAAAATAAAGGGGATTAATTTAAAACAGACAAGAGGCTTGAGAAATAGTCTTATTGTTAGGGCGGGTCCAGAGTGGTGAGGGACACAAAATGAATCGTCTTCTTCAAGAGATGATAACTGAAGGAAGATTTGTAGTCAAAAGGAGGTGTGATGGCTGTGGTATGTTGAAAGACGCTTGTTTTCTGAAAGAAGTTATTTATTCAGAGAAAAGAAACATCTTCATAGAGTGAAAGGCTGGTTTATAGGAAGTTAAAAAATAAACACTGAAGGAGAAAATTTCAATCATGTGTCTTTAACTAAAATTTAGCTTCACAGGTTTAAATGATGTTTATATGAGGGACAGAAACATGAAATTCTATTGTTGGTTTCTATTTTTCCTCTGTAGATCCTATTGAACTATAAACAATGAATGTTTGATTCATTATAATTTGCAAGCTGACATTTTCAAAAATATGGCTGCATGTAATTTCACAATAAAAAATCACAATGTTATTAAGTGTCAATTATAGAAGTGTCTTCTCACCAATGCACTGAGGTGGTTGGGTCCACGTTCCCCTAATACATGTAACTGAGCTGTCACCAATCATTGTAAAGCCTTCTCCACAAGTGAACTCTACTGACTCTCCATGGTGATAGGGGGGCCGTGCTGGGGACACGGCCTCACCGTGGTCCAGCTCAGGTACGTCTCCACATGTCCTGTCCTCCTCTGTGAAAATCCCACAAACAAACATTTAACTTTAAAATGTAAGTGAGGTCTTGATATGAATAGAAACACTGCTGAAATTTTGGGTACATTACCAACACACACGGGCAAGGGTGTCCACTCTCCATCAACGCACTGAATTTTCCTTGCACCCTTCAGCTGGAACCTGGGGTTGCACACATACTCCACCACCTCACCGTGTCCATATTCCCCTTTAGGTGTGTCTGCCACTGTCCCGTTGGGGAGTCGAGGAGGTTGATCACAGGACTGTACTTTCTCTACGGTAGAAATACTGTATAACTGAAGGATAAAGTGTCTCCTGTACAACTGAAAATCCAGAAAAACGAAGAGATTTTTTTCTTTAATCTATTACTTATTATCTAACTTATTATAGCATTCTTTGAGGAAGGATAAAGAATGGTGTTTACACCAGATTCATGTCTCCCAGCTCTGTTATGATACAGAACTAGCACACTGGACATATACGTAAGCCCAGGAAACGTTCAATATTCTAGATCAGGGGTGGGGAACGTCTGGCCCGAGGGCCATAAAAGGCCTTGGAAATCATTTGGTCTGGCCCTGCCAATGCATTAAGTTTGAGTTAAGTAAATGTTTGACCAATTACAGCAGGATAATTTTTTAGTTGATAATTTTGTATAATCTAAGAATGATGTCATAATATCCAAATGGCCCTTGGCAGAGAAAAGGTGCCCCACCCCTGCTCTAGAAGATCTAAAACTAAATGCAAATCAATGACCAAATATCATTGTGTAACTATTCACATTCCATGGAAACATTTCATCAGAACTTTTTGGGGGGAAAAAATCATCGGAGGCAAGTATTCCATCAACAAATTTTAACTCTACATCATATTATATATGGCATTGAGTTAACTCTTTGATGCTTGAAATTGTCTAGAAATTCTCAGGGAAACTTGAGGTGAGACCCAGGCTGATAGAAATGTTCAATACCACTTGTGGAAGTTATGCAACAGTTATGACCAAAGAGGTCACTCCAGTGTCACACAGTATGTGCATCTATGGAGTTTTCAGTATACGGTCCAAACAGCAATGAAAGATTATTTCCTTAATTAAATAAGGAAGTGGGAGGTATCTACTACCCAACACACATTCCTGGCTTAATGCACTGAGTTATAGACACACTGGGAGCCAACAGAAAATTAAGAGAAAAAAGGCAGCTGATGTCCAACATTCTTATTCTTGTTTGAGCAGGTGTCAGAGAATTAATCACCTTTACATGTTGGAGGGCTACGGGACCATCCAAAGTGGTAGCACTGAAGAGAGTCTGGTCCAACGAGAGTGAGGAATCTATTTCTGCAGGAGAATTTCAACATGTCTCCAATGACATATTTCTCTTTCCGGGGCTGAACAATTAAGTTTGGCTCTATATCGGGAACGATGCATTCTCTTTCTATAAAAAGGGTAAATAATTCAATGAGAACAGATGATTAACCAGTGCCAAGTAAACTTTATATGTCATGCAAGAGTAAGTGGCTGGGTGTTGCATATTCAGAGAGGCATCAAATAAATGCTCTCCCTGGAAGTGCATTATCTATTATGTCTGACACATCCCTCACATTCAGTTGGGACACTCTGAAGCAATAGATGTGTCCTGAGCACTTATTTGAAATATCAACTAGCTTATAGTAAATCTGATTTTACCAATGACATTTATAAAATTAAATGCTACATTTTTGGTATTATCAAAACAATTCTATGCCCTCACATTAAACAACAACGAAAGCTAAAGTTTTAAATTGCATGCTTAAATAAAAATTGGTTATTTTAATTTAATATAGTTGGGGAACCAGGCTTTTTAGAGAAGCGTTTCTCATATATTTTAGTAGAGGAACATTAAAATTTGCTTAGTTAATAACTTAAATCAATTGCTATGAAGAATAAAATCCCAACTCTTTCACGCCTACACTTCCAATGCCATCTTATCTTTCCTCCCTTTGTTGATCCAGACCCCAGGCTTCATGGTCTCTGAACATTTTTAAGAGATCAAGTTCCTTGCTCTCCCTGTTGCACGGTTCCGAATGGTTTTCAACCTTTCTGTGTAGAGATGCCTTCCTCTATGACACAAGCCCTCAAGCCCTCCAATTTTCAAAGTCTTTGGATGTATTCCTTCCTTTGAAAATATAAAAATGTATTAGATATATTATTATCATTTGATTCATTATTTGACTTTTTTTATGTTGTTGTTTTTTCCATAATGCAAGGAGCCTATATGGAGCCCATACTAGGTGTGTGTGGAAGCCGGCATGGAGAATGTAGTCTAGTCACCAGAATATTTTTTAAAAATATGAGAATGTTTGTCAACATGGAAACATTTCGCAGATCTGGAAGGATGAACAATGCTGCCGATCACATTGGTTTTTGCCCAAAGACACATGCTTGGCGAATCGTGGAGTGGAATTGAAACCCACGCAGACTATGAATCCGTCTGTCAGACTTCCTGTCCCTTGAATCCTTTTATCTCCCCACACCTAAGGCAATATTCATTCCAACATTTTTTCCTCCTGGTTCTCTGAGTCCTTTTATTCTATTTTGCTGCCCTCTCTTCCTCTGTCGGACATCTGCGTGCTGGAATGCTTCAGGGCTCAGATGGAGGGCTCCTCTGTTCTCATTCTGGATTCTTTCCCCATGAGACGTCATCATTTCCATGGTGAGAATCTCATATGTTGATCTGGCCAGGCCTCAACATTCAACTCCGTAGCTTAGAATCTAATGTTGGCCAAAACCGGTTTGGCTCAGTGGATAGAGCCTTGGCCTTCAGACTGAGGGGTCCCAGGTTCGATTCTGGTCAGGGGCATGTGCCTGGGTTGCGGGCACATCCCCAGTGGGAGATGTGCAGGAGGCAGCTGATCGATGTCTCTCTCTCGTGGATGTTTCTGGCTCTCTATCGCTTTCCCTTCCTCTCTGTGAAAAATCAATAAAATATATTTTTTTAAAAAAAAAATCTAACGTTGATGGTCCCTGGGCAGCTCAACGCTCATGCGCCCAACCTTGAACTGAGTGATGGACTCATGTCTACCCTACAGTAATTCATTGTAAAAGACCAAACTAGAGCCACTTCAAATAGAGCCACTTCAGCTTCTGACACCCCAAGAAAAAGAAATCAGTTAAAGTAAAGGTTTGTTCAACAGCCATTAAAATAACGGACACAATAGTCATGAATGACTTACTAATGCATCTGGGTTGAGCTGACCATCCATTCTGGAGACATGTAATAGACCCGGATGTCTGACCATCTTCTGTGACATAATCTTGTTTGCATTTATATTTTACTTTTTGATTTAAGAGATATGTAGATTCAGGCTCAGCAATAAATCCATTCTCAATTTTTACCTTTGACTTCAAACACGTTTCTAAAAGGAATAAAGTGTAA